AGCTATACCTCATATATATATACACACACACATATCCATATGCAAAAACATTTTAATAAAATACTATATACCTGTTTTTGTTGGCTCTGTTGTAATTTTTGTTTTTTTTGTTACTTTTTTGAGAACCAAACAGTGCTTCATTGTACCTACACAAAATAAAATGTTTAAAACAAAAATTATATTATGGTATAAAGAATATTAAACAAGAAATAGGTTTCAGCTTAAGTTATACAGCAGTAATAGTGCAATATATTCATCATTTGCTCTCATTGGAGGGTAATAAGTGTAAATTGGAAAGTAAGTTCGTCTGCAGTCCTTCGCGAGCGAAGTTGATGTCTCCTAGGGTGAATGTGTTCTCATGTGACTGAACAGCCCAATTCAAGATTTACACTGTTTGGAACACCTCTAGCAAATAGTGCTCAGATGAAGACATTGTCACAAAGAAGGATTGGCTTTTTACCCTTTACTCTGCTGTCACTTCTGCTTCTCGTTTTCCCATCGATCAGTTTCTAATGTTTTTGTCGCATGATGTATTAGACGACTGGAATGGTCAGACGCATCCTCCTCCAATGTGTTGAGGTTAATGGATTCTGTTTTGAGGTTAGATTTCAGGTTATCCTTCCATCTTTATAGTTGTCCATCCAGAGAACGAGTGCCGTGACGAAGTTCTGACAAGAGGACTTGACAAGGAAGACGATGTTCCTGCATACAGAGACAATGACCAGCCCAATGAAGTTGATCTTTTAACAGCTGGACTTCAGTGCTTGTGAAATCAGCCTCTTTGAGGATGCTGATGTTGGTTCTTCTGTCCTACAATTTTATTCCAAGGATTCGACGGATGCATCTCTGATGAAATCCCTCAAGAGATTGGATGTGTCTTCTGTATACTGTCCATGTTTAGCTGCCATATAGGAGAACAGTGATGACCACCACATTGTAAACCATCAATTTGGTTTTCTTTCTCAAATCGTTATTGTAGAATACGCGTTGTCTCGGTCTGTAAAAAAGCATTTCCAGCACAACTTATTCTGATTTCAACTTCCTTGTCAATGGTTGTGTTCAAAGATAGATGACTGCGAAGAGACGGGAAGTGATCCATGCATTCAAGTGGTTTTCTATCGACAAAAATTTCGGGAGGTTTTAAGTTTAGTCTCAAAGGTTTCAGTTGAAAGATGATTTTGTTTTGTTTTTTGTATTACAATAACATTGAAACATATAATAGACAAATTAAGAGTAACCAGATTAAAAACACTTCAAGTTTTGGTGATGTTTAATCACCCTAGCTAACCTACAAAAGGTCATCGTTCACCAGCTTCTTTGTTATACATCTGTCATGTAGTGTGCAGAAATATTCATGTATTATTTCTGATACAGTATGCCTTAATTCATTCTTCAATTTTAACTTTCTGTAAAACATCGTGGAATGTATTTTGAAACTGCAGTGTAGTCTAAGCAAATTAAATATATTTGTTCTATTAGTAATATCTTAACCATATTAAAGTATTATTTGAATATTATACTTAGGAGAGATTGATAGCAACAGTGCTTAAGTGGAGAGAAAAATAAAATTACTGACATCTAAATGAAAGACATTTTGAGAAAAACCTAAGAAAAAAACAAAAAGCAACTTACAGTTTTGATCCAATTCTTTCTTTCAATTTTTGCAATTCTTCAAAAGACATCTCTGCAAGTTCTATAAATTTACAAGCCAAACTTTTATTGACATTGCTCTAAAACATATATCAATTACCATTTAAACATTAGCTGAAACTATGATTTTATTTTTTATTGAAAAACAAGCCTTTACTGGTGTTACTGGATAACTAAACAATTTTAAAAAATTGTCATTTTACTATATTCTTATGTACAGTATGCCGTATAACTTACCATGTATGACACCAATTAAAAACAATGTATACTTAATATATATGTATAATAAAAATATTTTAACCATAGTAAACAAACTGTCCTTACACTTTAAACAATTCTACAAACATAATTTAATTTCAATGAAAGATTCTGAAGAAAATTCCAAATCTAAATAGATGTTTATGAAAAAACGTTATTAAATCAAAATGTTTGTATATGATTTATTAAACATACGTTTTGATATAATTCATTAAACATGTTTGAATAGTTTCACCACTAAGTTAGAGAAAAAACTGTAGCTAAGAAGAAAAAAAAAGACAAATTATTTAAGTTTGGTTATTTAAACTGAGGAAGTTTTCAAAACAAACAGTGTTCAAGAAAATATTAAGACTGTCTTACCCTGTCGCAGAACAGTTTTGTGAGCTTCGTCCTAAAATAAAACAAAAGTATTTGCATATTCTTACAGTTAACTTGTCAGTTAGAGGTATTAACATTTGAACAACAAAAGTAAAAGGATGTGTGATAAAATGAATATATATATTGAATGAAACCTCTCTGTTTTACATGTTTAGGTAAAAATTGTCTTGTTTATGAGAAGTAAAACAAAATTTTCCTTTAAACCAATCAGTAGAAATCATAGAAATTTATCAGACTACACTCAACCTCCCAAAAACAATTACTGGGTAAGACCCAGGCCTGTTCAGGTAAGACTACATCACTGAACATATAATCTGGTAAAATAAAAAAAATACTCCAAATGACTGAAAGAGATGATGCCTTTATAGGGATTTTCATCTTAAATATGCGTCAAACGATCCACAGCACAAAAAATATGAACATATAATCTGGTAAAATGAAAAATATACCGAATGACTGAAAGAAATGATGCCTTTACAGGGATTTTCATCCTTAAATATACCGAATGACTGAAAGAAACGATGCCTTTACAGGGATTTTCATCCTTAAATATACCAATTGACTGAAAGAAACGATGCCTTTACAGGGATTTTCATCCTTAAATATACCAATTGACTGAAAGAAACGATGCCTTTACAGGGATTTTCATCCTTAAATATACGTGTAAAGATCAACTACACAAAAAAATACTTTTCACTTACGCAGAGGAATTCTCCTTCCATTATTCTTTTGCATCAAACCCTTTCAAAGAAAAAGTCTGCTCCTGAATATCACTATGATGCAAGTCAATACATTTTCAAGGAAAGAAACAGATGGTTCATGGTGTAAGTATAATTTTGTACATTAGAGCACGGATTTAGAAGGGTACAAAAAAGGCATCAACTTCTTAATGAGTTACCAGTGGGTTTTAATGCCTTAACTTTAAAGTCAATATTTTTTCTACTTAGTACTTTCCTAAGTTATATTGGAAAAATATATTTTATTTCAATTACAGCTGAGAAATTAGTGGTATTTCTTAATTGATTAATCAATAGCCCCATTAATCAAATAGTAGTGTTCTTCAAACCACTAAAAAAAGTTGGCACGAAGTGCTTACCTCTAGTCAAAATTAATGACAGTGGCAGTTGCCTTATTTCCCACAACAAAGACAGGGCCAGAAAGTTTGGTAGAAATATTTTGATTACTTGGATAGTTGGAATAATTAGAAACATTAATTTCAATACTTTGATTATTTCCATTACAGTCAATATAATTAGAATTCCAATTAATTGATTGTTTGAATAATCAAAAACAGTAGTAATCATAAACACTAATTTAGATTAATTGATTTAATCATACTTTTCATTAATCAATTAGTTTAAGTGACACTAATCAACATAATTACTAATAGTAATCAATTATTTCAATCAATAAATTAAATTGCCAAGTTCTAATTTTAATGCACTGAGGAAAATTGAATGGGCAGGATAAGAATTTTTACCAAGAACACAACTGTACTTTAATGTGGTTTTGTATCAAAATGATCCAAGTTCATTGCTAGATTAAAACAATTTGGTAATAGCTCACTAAACTGCCATGTGATCAATATTCTATCATTTTCCTTGATGTTCTTTATCAAACACTTTTGTAACAAAACAAATTATGTTGTAACTTTCTTTGCCAAACTACACTTGTTTTTGTTTTTTATCATCCCTGCAAATTTATAAATAACAGCAACTAGATCACTTTATCTAATATGGCTGTCTACTTGGTACCCAGTTCTTAATTTCATGATTCAAAATACTAGAATTATTTTGAGATTTTGGATGATGGTAAAAAATCAATGCTATAGAACTTCACTGATGAGTCACAATTTCCGAGAGTGAAATAAAGAATATTGTTCTTGTGACCATGATAAACATTAATTGATCTATCTATCTGCTATCAAAATTTTGAAATGAAATAATTTTTTGACGAGATGTAAAAATTCAGTTGTTAATAAGGTTATAATTATGGGGTTTTAATTTCAAGCATATAAATTGGGAAATGTTAATCAGACCATGAAGGAGACATTTTTCTAGACATTCTTCTTGATAGTATTTTTCAACAACTGGTTATGGAACCTTCTACAAACAAAGATATTTTAGATTTATTGTCAACTTCCAATATAAAAATGACTGACAGGATAAAGGTTGGGAAACATATGGGTGCAACTGTCTGTTGTTCGATTAGGTTTAATGTCTTACTGCATATGGAGATCAGAAATAATGAAATTTTGGTTATAAGTTTCATAAAAATAAATTTTGAAGAGATGCAACAAGAATTATACATTGTGAATTTGGCAACTGAATTAACTGGAGATACTGATCAAATGTGGAATTTGTTGTTAATATTCTATGTTTATTACAGGAAGAAGAAAGAGCATAGCTAAAGGTAAAAGTCCAGGTTGGCTTACAAAGAGTATAAGGATAAAATTAAAAAAGACATTACAAATTTAAGAAACTTAAATCAATTGCTATAACAGAAGACTTAGAAAAGTATAGATGATCAAGAGAGTTGGTAAAATAGGACATCAGGTAATTAAAACGGTTATATGAAAAAATATTAGCTGAAAATACAAAAATTAATATAAAGAATTTTTTTAAATATATTAATGATAAGCAAAATTTTAGGATGGGAGTTATACCTGTGCAGGGTAATAAAGGATGACTCATTTCTAATGGTTATGAGATAGCTGGGTTACTAAATTCTACTTTTACTTCAATTTTAACTATGAAAATTAAAGCAGTTCTGAACAGTTGCTAGGTGAAAACAAAACTGATCAAGATGATCACATTGATTACGAAATTGTCAAGAAAAAACTGGGAAGTTTAAAGAATGATAAGGCTCTTGTGCCAGCTAAAATTTCCTCAAGAATTTAAAAGGGGGTTAAGGATTGAATATATGAGGCACTCGCTACTATTTTTTGTAAGTCCTTTAGTAATGATTAAGTGCCAGAAGATTGAAAGTTATTTAATGTTACTCCTCTTTCCAAGAAAGGTGATGAAACTGTCCTATTAATTATAAACCTATCAGTTTTATATCACTGGTGGGAAAAGTTTTTGAAAGTCTGATAAAAGTGCTTTGCAAATTCAATTAACAAAGTTTAAACTTTTGTTAAGTAATCAAAATGTTTTGCAATTTTTTAATATTATCTAGATTAAGGTACTGGTGTGGATTCAGTGTACCTGGATTTTTCAGAAAGCATTTAACAAGTGCCACAATAATGCCTTATTTAAAAACATTATCTCTAAAAGAATGACAGATTAACTGGCTCATTGCATCAGGAAATGGCCAGATGGAAGAAAAGAGATGATTGTTATAAATGAAGTTCAGTCAAACTGGAATAATGTCACAAGTGAGGTACCTCGTGGACCAGTGTTAGGCCTTTACCCTTTTTGAGTTACATTAATGAGATAGATGGGGGAATGGTCAATAAATTGTTTACATTTGGTATTAAAGTCTTGAGTGTTGTTGGTTGTGATAAGGAAGCTACTGCTTTACAAAAGGATTTGGATTATTTGATTTGTTGGGCAAATAAATGATGGCAGATAGCTTTAATAATAATACTAAAAATAAAGTAATGCATATGGGTTATATTAATTTAAATTATAAGTATAATTCTGAGAAGAATAACTTTAACTAGGTTATGGAAACAAAGGGTCTTTAGGTTGTATTTACATAAATATTGAATAACAGCTAAAATACATTATAATTTCATTGTATAGATCAATGCTTAAGTCTCATTTGGAGTACTGTTTTCAGTTTTGGGCTCCTTACCTTCGGAAGAACATTGAATTGTTGGAAATGGTTCAAAGAGTGCTACTAGGATCAAAAGGTTATCATATGAAGACAGGTTAAGATCTCTGAAATTGTTTATTTTCTTGAAAAAAAAGAAGAATTAGAGGGGGATGTAATTGAGGTGTTTAAGATTGTTAAATGAATTGACAGTCTTGATGCATCATCTTTTTTTATATTTAAAGGTGAGAATGGAAGGACACGGGGACAAAAACATAAATTTTAGTAAGATAGGAATTATATACAGCTAAAAAGGTTTTATTTTTCTGACAGGATAGTTGACATTAGGGATGTGGTAGGTGCAATAAATTTATGGGAAGGCTTGAAAAATATTTAAATAATAAGAGCCAGCTTTGAGGGTGTGTTTTTTTTTGTTTGTTTGTTTTATTTATATTTTAATTTGTCGGATGGAACATCTTTGATGGACTAACAGGTCCCTTGTTGTCCTTAGGGTTATGTTAATATAATGAGTGATGTAGCTAGTTACTTTTTGTTTGCCAAGTAACATGAAATAATACTAGTTTTTACTTTCATATTCAGTAATAAGTAATATATATTACTAATGTAAGTAATATTGAACAATACTGCTGGATGTCAATCAACACAATCTGCATGATAAAGCTGTCCCACTCAAGAAACATGGCATAAGCATGCTATTCCAGCCATAGATAGTCTGTGCTGTTTAAAATATCATTAAATAAAAAACTCGGGCTTTGTCCTTCATCTTTACTGATAAAAAAATTAAATAAAAGTAACTGTTGGTATAGTGAATAAGTGGTAATTTACGTATCGTACATTTTTTTAATCAAAAATAATCTGAATAAAATTTTGAAACAAATCTAGTTAACAAAACAACAGGCAAGGTACTTGAGAAATTAATAAATCTTTAATGAGAGAAAATTCTGTTAAAGGAAAGTTTACACCATGCCTTTAGCAGCTTATAAAAAAAGAATAATATTTAAGCCTATCCTGCCAACTTCATTAATCTGAAATTCACACAAGTTTCAACAGGAATTCCATATAGTAAGTCTGCAATGATAATTGAAGTGTTCAAACCCAACCTTGATATGTATGATATACAGTTTCACTAAAGTCCTACAGAAAATTACAAGTATCCACAAAATTCCAGGTTAAGAAAATGTTAAGCAGATAATTAAGATGAAGTTGGGCAGAAAAAAATTCAAATAACAGAAATCTTAATTGACACACAAAGTTTTAGATGATTGTAAATTATCAACTAGTGGGCTTTTATTGTTTCAAATAATAACTGTAACTGACTGTTGGGATGGAGAGGATTTACAAAACATGTCTACACAGGATCAAGAACAGTGCATTACTACACTGTGAAATTAGACTAGTGTCCTAGTGTGCAGTATCCTATAACCCTTAGATTACCTACAACAATTATTATTCCAAGTGAATATATAAAAATGAAAGAATTCTCCATCTTATACAAACTTATAAAAATGAAAAAATTCTCCATCTTATACAAACTTGTACAAATCTCTGTACCACCTCTTGGAATGAGTATGACCTCACTCCAGGGAACAGACACAAAAAAGGGCCAAACATATATAAAACAATCACTGTAGCACAAGGTTACAACATTTGTACATTGAGTTGAGAAGAACATACACAGGACACCTGCAAGAAAATTTAACAAAAGTGTCTGAATACAATTACATTCTATACTAAATATGAAAGGGTGAAATTATTTATGTCATTACATAGGTAATTCAAAATATTCTTTACATTACTAAACAGTTAACAGAAGTTTTCAATGGCTAATTATCTCAGACTGCTTCTTCATGTTTTCTCTCCATAACAGATGAATACCATTCTTTCCAGACTACGTTAATGTTATCATCACAATATTTTAAAATACAAAATAAATATTCTAGGTTAAAATGTTTTCTATAACATTTAACAGCAAGAAGCAGAATATAAATTCACTACACAGAAAAATAAATACTGTAAATAGTAACAATAATGATTTTACTCCCATCAGCAGTCTGCGTATATCTATTCTGGTCACTCTCTCTCTCTCCCTTTCTATATATACAAAATTTTAAATTACCATTGCTGGAAAAAATATGAGTTACCTTGTCAACATCCAATTGTCTGTTATCTTCATCTTTGTCCTCATCATCATCACTTGAGTTACTTTCAAAACCAGTTTGATTTTCAACTTGTTTTTTTTCCCATTCACTTTCCTGTTTTTCATCAGTGCTATCCAATATCTCATTTCCCTTGTGCATCTTTTGATAATTTAATGACTCATTTTCAACAGATAATTCTGAACAACCACTTTTCATCTCAATTTCCCTATTTGCAGCTATTTCAAACTTTTTTATGCTTCTTCTTTATAAACTTTTTTTCATTACCTCCTGTCTCTATCATGAAATTATCTACACTGGTAACACCATTCTTTGAAGACATTTTCTGAGGTGAATGATTCAATGAAAATTGTCCACAGTCTGCACCATCACTTTCAATAGCAACTCTGTCAAGTTCCTTACCATCTTTAATTCTATGATGTCTCTTCTTATTTTCCAAGGTTTGGGGCATTTTGACTTTTGTATTAATGTTATCTATGGGAAGTTTATTTTCACACATATTTCTGTCAACAAGTTCTGTCCTTTTTTCATATTCATGAATTCTTAAGTGTTTCTTTTCATCAAAGGACTGTATTCTTTTGTTTGTATTCTTTCTAGTACCAAAATTTCTCTTTTTTATGTTTTTTGTACTATTTACATCCATATTCAGTTATTACTTTTGAAAATTTTTTATAAAATCTCTTCTCCTCCTTTTCTTGATGTCATCAGTATTTCTTTAAAAACAATACATCCTTTTTAACTGGTTTTACCATACTTTGGAACTGGCTTGAAGAAAGCCTGAAAAACAAATTATATCTGAAAATGAAACTCAAATGTGTGCAAAGACAAAAACATCTATCTATATATATATATAATAGCTAAATGTGTGTCTGTCTATTATTCTCTGTATGTCCTGAACAGTTAAACACAGTAAATAAAATTAAATATTAAACTACTTTTTTTTCAGGAGTACATTACAGGAAAATAATGATTTTTTTTGCAATTCCTAAAATTTTATATTGATATCAACATCAATCCATCATTCTTCATATCTTCTGAAAAGTTAATCTGAGAGGAAACCTTATTAAGAACAAAAATGTTTCTTTTTATGAAGGAATTTCATGAAAAAAAATGGGATTTCCTCCATCCTCTGATTGAAAGAAATATTTCGAAGATAGGAGCATGAATGAAAAGAAACACATAAAGAGAGGGATGTGTCTGAGTATATACTTGTTGTTGTTTGGTTTATGTGGGAATTTTTTTATGTCATTATTATACACATGCATGATTTTATTTTATCATGTCAAATAAATTGATTTGAATTTAATATCTCCCCTTTGACATTTCTCATAGAAATAACAACTGTTAAAAAAAAAGCACTCAGTTTGGTAGCATACTTTCCTTGTGCTCAGTAAAATAACAAGTAAGGCATCCAACAAAAAAAATTACCTGCATTGGGTTGACTGCACATTTTATATTTATTCATTACTTTTTTTAGGAAAATTACCATTGAATAGTTTCAACAGGCATCTGCGTTTACATAAATAAAAACAAATGCCTAAAAACTATAAAGCCATGAGTGGTTTTTAACTGTTTTATAGTTGCTGACAACTTTCACCCACTTACACATGATGATAAGTTCTCATTTTGTATGTTTATTATTATTATTACTATACACACAAACAAATAAATGTATTAAAAAAAATTCTAAAACTTAAATATTGTCTTATGAACCAAAATTAATATAAGTTCTCATTTTGTATGTTTATTATTATTATTACTATACACACAAACACATAAATGTATTAAAAAAAATTCTAAAACTTAAATATTGTCTTATGAACCAAAATCAATATAGGAGTCTTAATTTCCTCTTTCAGTGTCATCTTGCAGTTAAGTCATTAACCAAATATGAATCTCACATTTTGTACACTGGCTTGAAAGAGTTGAAGAGATTATTCAAAACTAATACAAGCTCTGCAGCATTTTGTTGGCAGTTCAAAATTGTATTCTTTTACAGGATTACAATGATCTGTTTTATTCACAGTATTAACTGACTGCATTTCACTTGAGCATGGCATAATTAGTTAATGCAAGTCCAACTATAAACTACCTACTCCAGATCTGTCCTTGAACCTAGGATCTATTACTACGTTCATTTAAAGGTTCTCCTAATCTTCTTATCTTACAACCAACATAAACAACCTCACATGTCAGGCAACAATATTTATAAACAATACTAGATAGTTGAGAAACATTATGTCCTTAAAGGTGAAAAAATTCAAAATTTCTTATTAGAGACTTAAACGTACATATTAATTTTACAAATGGATATATCCTTTTCATAATGAAATAATTAGTCATAAATGTGTTTATCTGAGAGCAAATTCACCATGGAGTATCAAACCATTAATTTTAGCATTGTAATCCCACAAACTTTCCACTGGGGGACAATTTGTTATATTGTAATTTTTTTTTTAAAGAACAGAAAGTCAGAGAACAAACATGTGTACATCTATGCATTTGTTTATTTTGTTGTTAAGCCCACATATACACAATGGGCTATCTGTTCTTTGCCCATTGCACATACTGAAACCTGATTTTTAGCATCATAAGTTCTAAGAATTACTGCTGAGCCACTGGAAAACATGTTCTATGAGATCTTGGTTCTTATAATTAGTGCATAAAGGTAATAAATTAAAACAAATGTAAAGGGCTGTTTGAAAAAATGCAAAAAAGGGTAAAGACAAGCTGAAATGAGTGTGTTAAAATACTACAGAATGACTTGGATTCATAGGTTAGTTGAACAAATATATAAAAAACAATATATAATTATAGTAAGTGCAAAATATTGTATTTGAGTTATCAGGTCCACACCAACAATAGGCAAAATAAATGGCTACCTCAGGCAAAAGGTACTCAGAGGCTCCAGTGTGAGTAAGATTGCAAGACTGTAAGATTTCGGATGCTATTAACTGTCACTGGCTCCACATATTATGAATATTTGGATTAAATGTCTGATATAGATGTAAAAACCACTCCATGGAGTGACTAAAAAGGATCTTGGCCTAGTAGTAAAGTCTATCAAGCCATCAAAATAGTTTACTGTTGCTAGTAGTAAAGTTAATAGAATTTTTAGGTGTATTTAGACATATTAATAATAATATCACAAAGCAAAAGATGTAATTATTTATTTATATAAACCACTAGTTATGCATCATTTCGAACACTGTACAGTTTTGGTCTCATCTAAGAAAGTATACCGATTTATTGGAAATAATTCAAGGAATGGTTACTAGGATAATTTTGGGGATAAAAGGAATATCTCATGGGAATAAGTTAAAATCTCTATCTTATTATATTTTATGAAACAAAGGGTATGAGGTGATTTTAATGAAGTTTAGATTACCTAGGAGATTAATAGGATAAAGACCTCTGATTTCTTTGCATTATACTCTGAAGACAATAGGGTGAGAGAAAATAAAAGTTTACTATTTGGAAGTGATAAGTTTAGTTCCATTTAACAGTTTTATTTTTCTAAACATATTGACTGACTTATGGTAATAATGGCTACCAGCAGTAGTGGAGGCTGGCAATTTGCAAGAGTTTAAAGGGGGTAGAATCAATGAAAAAATAATAAGGGGAGGGTTTAAGTTTTAAACTTCTTCTCAAAGATGGAAGTGCAGGAATAGTCCTGAAGGTCCAAATGTTTCTTGTTGTCCATATGTTATGTTATCCAAATATATAGATAAAAGGATGAGCACATGGGTTTCTTGTATATCTTATATCAAACTGTGCATGCTTATTATATATTACTTTATCAAAAAAGTTATAAAACTATTTAACTTCCAACTTTCTAGCAGATTGAATGCGATGGCTACTTTATAAAAGAGCAAATTGGACATTTATCTTAGGCTTAAACTTATAGGAGGCCCACAAAAAAAATTTTTTACTCTACAATCCATGAAATTTTGAGGCTTAATGAAAAATAATTACAGAATAAAATTATTATCATCTTTTATTATAACTAAGGTAAGACAGTTTTATTTTTATAACAGGGTGGTTGGCCTTTGAAATGGGTTGCCTTCGGATGTTGTAGAAGCAGTAAATTTAAATGAGTTTAAGAGAAAGCTTGATAACTATACGAATGATAAGGTCTGGCTTTTAAGAATTTTTTAATTTATTTATTTAATAGTTTTAGTTTAGTTTAGAGAATGGGACAGCCAAGATGGACCAACAGGTCCCTTGTTGTCCCAAAACATTATGTTATGTTAAACTATATCCTTAAAGGGATTTGGATGTGTAATAAGCCAAATCCAAATATGTCTTAAAATACATCTGATTCAAGAAATATCCATACGAATAAATACTTACTACAAAAGACTATAATAACGCTTTGCATACTGCTCAGTTGTAATGAAAAAATAACATGTAATTAAAAACTTGATAGTACTTAACCTAATCAACTAACAGAGCTTGCTCCAGAATAAACAATATTGATTTATTAGAAGAAAAAAAACATACACTGTGTAGACTTTGAAACAAATATTAACCACGCTTTCTTCAGTTTTTTTTCTTACACAGATATGAACCAAGCAAGCTATGTTACTTGCCTCCTTAAAGCTAAGAGTGCTAAAATTTATTCCATATTTAAAAATATACATGTGCAGTGTTCCTTGAAATTTACTATTCAACAAAATTATGCTAAATCCCTGTGTCATATCTTCTTAGAATATCAGCAGATATATGGAAATAATAATAAGTTACAATACAAATTCTAATTAGAAAATGATTATTTCACCATATCTTTGCTGTATTTAGATATACCACTCAGTTATAAATAATATATTTCTTCTGCTACAGTTATTACAACTTTAACTGGCACTTTTCATCTTTTAATGTACTAAACTCAATATTATGCATATAATTTACCAGTCATAGGCATACATTCTCTCCCAGTCAGCATAATTGTCAAACAGTGAATTTAAAATTCATAGCACTATATTAGAATATGAAAAACTACCATCCATTCTCTATAATAAGGTAAATACATGTGAGAGTAAGAGACAATGATTGTAAATTTTACTATTATGTAGATCTCGCTTTAACTAGTTTAAGGCTAGGTTGCAATAACTTATAAGACTATAGTAGTTTAAAATCCTAATTAATATTTTAAATGTACTGCTAAACCTATTTTTCGTTTAGTTGTATAAATTATTCATATATTAATACTAGTGCTACTTATAAATTATATAATTTGTGGTTAATTTGCACAAATTACCATTGTATTTGTAGTTCTTTACACTTATCCACAGGCACTTGCAGTTAATTACTTTGACAAACTGAAACTACAGTAGTAGTAGTACTTTTAAAAGTATACATACTAAATAATACTAAGTCATAATAATATACAGCGTGAAAATTATGGTTCTAATTTCTAGTTTACTGCCATTCCTTATAAATATATTATAATTTGAAAGTATACATTATCAGTAAATGGCTAAATCGTGTAATCGGAGTTCACTTACTCTAATTATGTTGGTAATCATACTACTTTTAGTATTAACTGTAATTCTGTTTTAGTACAACTACAAGCGTCTACGACTGACCGTACGCTTCTAAACTTCCTTAGGCCTAATCTACAACCAACCATTCAGTACGGAGAAGCATACGTCGTTGCAAAATATTTAATTATTAATACTACGAATGAGTGCCATAGGCTGCTTGCTTGTACTAAATTATATATATATATATGAAATTATGAAATGTAAACCACCGACCCCAAGACAAACTTAACTTTATCAAATGTACATTAAGAAAATTTTAACGTACAGGAATAACACAACAAAAATGAAATCTAAAATTAAAAGCACTTTTACCGATGATCATGTCGCCATCTTATTATTCTCGCTACAAGCTTTTATTTAGAGAGTACTTAAAGGTTATATAATATTAATTTTGAAGGTTGATTTATCAATATTAGATAAAAAATGTTATTTTATTAAAAAAAACATGCCACTAAAAACACTTAGTTGGATTTGAAAATTATGTATGGAGTTGTTATCATAACTTTAAGCAAATTGAGAATTAGTTTTGAACACACCAATAAGTAAAATTTACTTTACTTCTTACCTTATATAAAGGTTTCAGCACGAGTATTTATTTGGAAGCGTGTGTCTCGGACACCTGTGAACATCGATCAAGCTCCTTTCGGCTATGATCTGTCCAGCAGTGTCTAGTAAGCACAAGCAATGCATTCCCGATGCCTAGTCGCACGGTTGAGTGCCCCAATTCAAAATTACGGTCTGCCCGCGAGGGCAGTTCAGGGTGTAAATTCGGCCTTTCTCCTAGCTATAGGTTAGCTAAAATTGGGGGGAAGACCTTCTCGTGGTTTATGACGCTTCCATACACGGCACTGCAGATAGCAGTTTGCCCTTGTTTTGATGATAAAATAAGCATATTTTACGAAACTTACAGGATTGTCGAATAAGTTTCAATCATACTAGATATTAAAATTGTGACAATACGATAGGAGTATCATCATATCGTGAAACGATTGTATCAATACATCTTTCGTTACGATTTATGTATCCTCACCAAATTTAGCAACCTTTCAATAAACATTGTCTTTTGTACAGAAAAATCAGAATAATTTCTAATAAAGTATCTTTGCTAAAAATTAATGATTCAATAAAGGAAGATGAGTATTGAGTTCTAAATGTTGTCTTAATGTCTTTTATCAAAAACATTACATGCAAATTAACATAACAAATGAACAATATCAAAATAGATAAACAGATATTAACTTTTTTTATTTCAATTCTCTTGCCAGCTGCCACTTAGTTGATCAAACCTGACAATTTAAAAAAGCAGTGTAAAGTGTGAAGCACTTAAATAAAATAGTGTTAGTAATATAGGTAATAAATTACAGACAAGACTGACAAACTTTGGAACAAACCATTGATAAAACTTCTGTATCTAGATATGTATAGTATCGTGGCATCAACATCTAGATAGGTATCGTATCGGCTACTATGATGAGATAGGCACTCCTACTCTGGTCGTTTGTTAATTTCCAGTATAAATTCTTCCCGAGAAACTTCAGCGATACAAGTCCGTTCTTTAACTAAAACTAGTTTATCCTTTCTCAGTACAACTTTTCAATACACAGAATTTCCAGTCACTTTAACTTGAACACACACTATAATTCACAACGATTCACGCGCTTTACTTACGGTGCCTACCGCCCGCTTGACTCAAATATCTGTGTCTATATCTTCAATCTCTCTAACAGCGATTCCAATTCCGATTAATTGTCTCGCTTTATCTGGCGCGCTTATATACAAGAATAGAGGGCGTCTAGCAAATACTGGATTATTCGTGATATTCCCCGATCCTTCAAGAAACTCATCACGTGTTACCAACGTCACGTGACTGCCGCTGTCGTAACACTGCCCCTTCCTTAGTATTGTTCGTCAAGAACAATAGACCCTTAAATTAAACCAACAGATAATTACCAATAATTTAATTAAATGTACAGAATTTACAAACACAAAATTAAAATTCAACAAAGTCTCTTTATTTTACGGGACGTATCTTCTTCCGTACTGGTCTCTGTCTCGTTGGGTTCTGCTTCACGTAAATATCATCTGCTCCATCAGGAAATGTCCTATAATCGGTAATAGTCACATCAGTGGTAGTAACTTCATCAAGGGCTTCACTGTTTCCCTTCTCAAAACCGAGTAGATTTTTTTCTTCGACAGTGGCTTTTCCAGGTGACACGTCTTCAGCAGCGTCTTTTGTTCCATTGTTCACTTCGTCCTAACTGAAATGTCCTGGACCGTGATAACGCCAAAGCCTGTTGGCATGCACCACCTTTGGCTTACCTCGCCGACCACATTTTATTCGGAAAGTCACGTCTGAGAGACGATCCACTATGTCATATGAGCCTTCCCACGGAGAAGACAACTTAGGAGACTTCCCTTTGGTCTTCCTGGGATTATACAACCACACTTTGTCTCCTGGTACAAAGCCGACTTCAGTATATTTCTTATCATAACATAGCTTCATGAATCCGACATATGTTTTCAAGTTTAAATGCACTTGATGGTGAATATCATCCTCCTTTCCAAAAACAC